TCTTAGCGGTAAAAGGACCTGGAAACCACGATGACACATTAAGGGGGTTTATAGCCTTTGTGAAGTGGGACTTAACACTTCCCAAAGCTAGGAGAAGCAGGTTATAAATTTTTCAACCCTGGCGGGAAAAAAACCCAAACAAACAGAGAAGGATTTCATAAGAACACACAAACTGTAAGGAAGAATGACAATATGCTTATAGCTAATTTAGCAATAACGACCTATTTTAAAACTAGAGGTCTGGTTTTAATTTTGTGAGCTGTTTGGGGAGGCGACACGAGTAATGAGCTATAGATCTGCCTCCTGGGCTTGGGGCAGTATCAGGGAGCATGGAGAGGCCACGGCTCCGGGTGAGGCCTGAGCGCTGGTCACACCAAGCTAGCAAGGCTCTCTTTCCACGTTCCTGCCTGCTCCGTTCCCGGGTCCGTGCCGCCTCTCTGACTCTGAGTACATCTCACTTTCTCTCAGCTTATCATCAGTCTGTTTTTCTGTGGGTCTTCTTCCCTCTCTGTCTCTATTTCTACCTCTTTGTTTTTCTCCTGTCTTTCTTTCTACTTCTCTCAGTCCCTGGTTTTGACCAAAACAATTTTTAACTGATCACAAAAGAGCTGAATAATAGGCCCTTATGTATGTTGTATTCATTAAACAGAATTTTGTGTTCTCTGCCTTATACAAAAGCAGGCAGGTGGGTGGAATGTTTTCTGTTCATCTGGAAAACAAATATATAGTGGGTTTTCATATATACGACCCTTGATTGATTCCCACCATGGCTTCTCCCCAAAACCCAGAAATTGGGGACCAGGAGTAGAATAAAAGTCCCAGCCTAGAGCTCCTAGCCTAAAGCAAGAGAGGACCTGTGGTTGTTGCCCGATATGTAGGTAAGGTCAAGAAGCATGATGGCAGGGAGCATGCAAAGGTCAGGGGAGGGTGAAATCTGGGTGTATGGAATGGAGATCCCAGTTAGTAACCGCCCACTCACATGGCACCACTTTCCATGATGACGGTCTCTGCCACTTTCCAGCCCTTGCCTTGACCCTCCCTGAGTGAACTGCTCCCCCAGGACCTGAGCTCACCTGGTGTTGGACCCCTCCACACCTTTGCTCTTGCAGCTCCTTCTGTCTGGCACGCCTTGGCCACCCCAGACTCTGTTCACCTGGTCATCACCTGCTCATCCATTGAAGTTCTCCCTGATCCATGGAACCAGCTAGAACAGGCTCCTCCTTCATGCCCCACAGTGACCAGAGGTGGGGTCTCAGTCATCCTGGTTCCCTAGTGCCCAGCACAGTGCTTGGCACATAATAGGTATTCAATCAACACATGTTAGTAAAAGGAAGAGGGATCCCATACTAAAAGTATATCATCTTTTGTCTCCCACTTTAGCAGAAGGCTATCCAAGCAGTTAAACCTGGCCCTAGCTCTGAGGTTCCCTCCCAGGTCTGCTCTCCTGCCTGTAGGCCTGCCCCACATGGCCTGCACACCCACGACCCACCCACTCTCCAAGGTTCCCTCCCCGATGCAGCCTTCTGACTCCCCACTCCTGTAGGAAGAAACCTGTCCTTCATATGAGCAACCAGCTACCTGGTCTGTTGTTACCTTACTTGGACCGCTCTTATGGCTGTTTCCGCTCCCCCGTGTTAGGCACACACAAGACTTTCCCCCTAACCCACACAGCGAGCCAGCCCACAGAGGGTGGAACCTTCACAATGACCGGATTAAATGAGTTAGTGAAGGCATCTCTACCATCTCTTGGGAGGAGAAAAAGCCAGAACCACCAGTCCTGCAGGATGACAGAAAGGCGGTGGAGAATCAGGACCCAGCCTCCCGGCGTGGCAACGCGGTGCTGGGCGCAGGCGGTCACTCATCCCCAGCAACATGGGATCAAAACGTTACACTACCTTGTTGGCCAGTGGGTCTCTTGGTCCATCTTCGCCTTTCCCAACACTTAGCTCTGACTGCTTGCAATTAGTATCTGAGAGGCAATCTAAAAGAGTCAAGCTGCATTAGGGAGAACCCCAGAAAAACTGCAGGGCACAGCTCATCTCGTGGAGAGTGGCTCAAATGGCAAAGGTTGATTCCTTCACCTACTCAGCTGGGCCTTACCAAGGAAATAAGATCAAGAAAGTGGTGTTCGTCTTTAGCATTTATTTATACTTGGAAAAAAAAAAACTGTTTGTTTGTTTCTGAGCAAGCACAGACCACAAGCACGTCACAATCAATTGGCTATACATGAATATTTTTTGTCATTTTCTTACTAACAGCAGGAATGAAATAGCACCAAGAGAGGTGTGCGCTACACATTACATAGACAATCTGTGGTATGCAACAAAACCCAGGCCACAAAATCGTAATTAGACACTTCCTGTCTGCCTTGGAGAGGCAAAGGTAGAACGGACCGGTTGGAAGCACCAGCAGATAACAGAAAACTTTGGGGAGCCAACGCACAGCTTTAGGGATTATTTTTGCAGGCAAGCAAAGCAGACAATAGGAAAGCTTCAGGCCTTGCTCTCTTGCCAGGGGAGCTCAGGAATCGGTAGGGAAATATACAAAAATGGACAGCCAGGCATCGGAAGCTTGGTCATCTTCAGAAAGGCAAAACGGAAACACTGCTTGCGAAACCAGAATCAGTTTCAATCAGTACGTTTGGGATGCAGAATAAGACTGGCTGAGTTTTATGTGTAAACAGTAGAAATCAAAGGAAGTTTCTTGCCATGAAGTGACACATTCAAGAGTCAAAGTGAACTACAAATAAGAGTTTTCCCAGTCGCAGGATTAAAAAGATGGGGAGCCTGAAGGGTTGAAAAGACATTATATGGGTCACGTCTCAAGCCGCAGGTGGGGCAGGGTTGGAAATTCAGTCCCTGGAGCTGCAAGGTGGGTGGGAAACTACAATCTGGGCGAACAAACTTGAATCAGACACGAGATCAAGCCGTATGTATCCTTCTGGTTGTGCTGCTGTGGAGACAGATGTATGTGTAACACCCAGCACGTCTCGCACGGTGTCTGGCACACAGGCATTCAGGTCGCGAATATGGAACGAACGTTCCCCTGTGCATCGTAAAGTTTGATTTACTTGATCTGCAAAACATATATGACTGTTCTATGGAGAAATCCAAATTGCGGCTAACATCAACACGCCTGACTAATGCCAGACCTCAAGAGAACGAACATACATTGGCAAATTCTCTGGACAGAGTTAAGATCATGTTGATAGAGCTCTCTGGTTAACGTTAAGATTAGTGAGCAAAGAGCTAGAATCAGTACTGAGGTCTGCTCTGGTCCTTTCCAGACAGGCATCAAAACGTGTGATGCACGAACACTGAAACTCACTCATATTTTCTGCCTTCTTCAAAAGTTCTTCTCAGTTCCACGCCCTGAGATAGAAAGGAAGATGACGGTGGGCCTGGCCGAGCGCCTCATTTCTAGGAGTCCTGTTCTCTTAACAAATGTGGCCCACAAAACACACGCTCAATGAGTTTGCGAAAGACTTCTCCATCAGCCCCAGGGTGACCAACAAAATGGCGCCAACAGAGACTTTGCTGCTTGAATGGTCAGAACAGGAGAGGACTGGGGGAAGCCCTGCTTCCTCCACACCACAGGAACCGAAAGGGAGCGCCGCGGTGAGGAGCCGGACGACAGCCCAGCCATGTCACGGGGCCAGCAACAGTAAGGACTTCAAGGACAGGAGCAACAAAGCATACCGAGCAATGTACACGTCACAAGGTTTGCAAATGTAATTTTTCCGGTAGGTATGTTGGGTCCCCTCATGAGCACTAGGGGTCTTTATACAACTCTCTGACTACCGCCTACAACACAACTCTAGCACAACTAAAGTGCCCCTTGCCACTCCCGGGGGCGTTGGCCACACAGACACGCGAAACACAACACGGTGAGAGCTGCTTTTATTCATCAGTGAGGTCAAAAATGCTTGCTAATCACTTAGTAGGGAACTCTTCTAATCTTCAGCTAAGTCACAGACATTTCCACTAACTGAAGCTCAGCATCCTCTGTCCTCTCTGAGGAACAGAGCAAACACAGTTCAGGAAGGGAGAGTGAACATCGCCATGCTTGGCACGGCGTCGACTTCCCACCTTGTGTTTCTCAGAAGCAAGGAAGCCATGTTCTCAATACACTACCCCTGCCCCCTGAACTTTCCTCCTCAGTCATCTGTAACCAGTCGCTCTGCAAAACTGGGTACACAGAGGAGAACAGTCTCCTCACGCTGCGTTCATCTTCCTATGACGTCTAGAACGTACCTAAAACACCCTGGCCTGCTTTGAGTCATCAGTGGCATATTTATCGCTTGGCATACAATTTCAAGCCCACTGATAGGAAACTAAATGTAGTCACACGTTTCTAACAGAAAAGTCTATGAGAAAAATTACTGGAACTTAACAGACACAATTCATCTTATGGACATTAAGGCCGAGGTTTTTTGCTTTTTAAATATTTCCACAAATGCTGTCCATCGCTGAAGCCCAAAAGCGAGCTTCTCTAGCACACGATAACCTTCTGAATTTTGGAAAAGAACACATTTACCTAAAGTTCAGAACTGATCCCTGACACAGACCTTGGGGGAGAAGAGGAGGCGGGCACCCTACGGGCATTCCCAAGCGTGACCGGGAGACTTCCAGCCGCTGGGAAGGGCCTCTGCGTGCTAAGGCCTGCCTGCCTCCCTGGGCAGCCGGCGAGCAGTCTCACCTGCTGTGGGAGGCACAACCGGGGAGCAACGCTTCCCGGGGTTCCTGGTGTTCCGGGGGCCCCGTGGCATGGACCCCTGCGCCGCGCTTAGCCCGGCCGTTCTCGATTTGGAGAGGAGGCATGCCGCTCGGGCTTGGAGATGGCATTCCTCCATCAAAAGAAACCAAACCAAAGAGCTCCTGGAACACTCAGGACCAAGGCAGATGAGAAACCTCTAAGCAATTTTGTGGCCTTTTTTGTTGGTTGGTTAAAAAAAAAAAAAAAAGGAAAGAAGAATAAAAGGAAAATGCAGTGAAATTTACTCTTTAGCCTCAGCCAGTTTATTGTTCATCTCTTTACTTTGCTCCTTGTCTTCGGGTTGGGTGGCACTGGGGCCCTCCGTGCTCTTTTTCTTGGAGGCCCGGCCCGACACCACCTGCTTGTCTTTGGCCTTCCTCGGGGGCTTATGGCTCGCTGAGGTCTTTTTTGGTTTGGAACTCTGAACACTAGGTTTTTCCACCTGCTCGGAGAGACAGACAGACAGACCGCAAATACAGAAACACAAAAAGGGAGGGAGTGGGAGAGAGAAGTTAGAGAGAAGACATGATTAGCTCAACGGTAACTGTCGTGATGACACTTGACATCGAGGAAGCACAGCGTCTAAAGTATTTTCAGTGACACAGGTCATCTGGCTTCTGAACCGGCCGGTCCGTTGTGGCCACAGGCTCACAGGCCACAGTGGCAGCCCGGCCTGGAGGCTATCACCACGGAACCACCGTGGTGGTGGATGATGTTAGCGTTTTGCAATACCTGCTGCCCTCCCTGTGGGAGAATCGATTATACCTCATCACTCATCACTCTGTTCAACTCGGGCAGGCCTAGGATTTGCTTCAGTCGATGAAATGTGAGCAGAAGGGCTAGGGGTCACCTCCAGCGGAAACGGGAGCATCAGGCCATGCTTCCCAGTGCTCTCTGCTCCTCGGCCATGAGGGAGGCTCTCCGTCACCCTAGGGCCACACTGCAGAGGCGGCAAGGGGTAGGGCTGTGGCCACCCATGATGGACGGGTATTCATGGGAAATAAACCTTTGTTGATAGAAGATGCAGAGATTCGGACGGGTTTATACTACCATATAAACTGGACTTTCCTTTGTTTCTGTCTCCAGGAAGGTGAGCTCGTGTGGAGAAATGGGCCAGGCAGTTTCCTCTCAGAGAGGCCTTCAGCACTGCCCACCATCCACTCTTCCTTTCCTGCAGGCTCCCTGGATTGTTTTCCTTAGAGCAGCCCTTCCAGCCCATCCACTCCCCCCAAACCCTCGGCTCTAGCTCTGCCTCCCCCACCCCACTCCCAGGAGATGGCCCGGCCCTCTCTTTCCGGAGAACTCTGGGGCCACTGTGTATGGTCCCGCAATATGCCCTCCATCTCTGGATTTACTTTCCCCAAACTTCCCTTCTTCCTCCCCTTGAGTCTTCTTTTGTGCAAAGCCAGCACTATGTCCTGGGCCCCACCTTGTTTGTGGAAGATGGGCAGAGATGCTGTTGGGCCTCACAGGCTAGGTCATTCATTCAGGGAGGTCCAGGGGTTTTCAGTCACCTCTGACCTATACATCTTGGTTTTCCTGGGCCTGAGGGCTTTCATGGAACGTGGAATTTTCAGTGCTTCAAGTGGAGGAGTCCATTCAAGCTGGCTTGGTTTCCTACCTCGCCTATAAATCAGTCTTGGGCCAAATAGGAAACTCGACTTCAGTGTAAGACTTTCAGACAAAAGCAGAGGAAAGGATCTCACACTTTTCCTACTCTTGTAGATAAGAGTGGATATTTGCACAATCCCATGTGGCTTGACTTCACAGAATCAGCTTTGGTGCTGCTTCCAGCTGAGTCTCCAACTCCATTCTCCCCCTCATTCCCTCATGAGTGTGTACTGGGACGCAAATAAGGCAAAGTAGTGTTATTATATGGAAATCCCTGAATCCACTGGAAGTTACTTAGAAACGTACATCATTCACAAACTGCCTATTATAGTAACAAATTACCCGGAACACATCTTGCAGCTGATGAGACAGGTGCTCTGTGACAGACTAAGAGCTGATGGTGGGTGCATAGTGTTTACGGAGGAGAAGGATAAAAAGGAGTAAGGAAGTGTCCACGGATTGGAGCCAAGGATGCGGCAGGGGCAGGGTGGGGAGAAAGCCAGCGAGATACCTCCGATGGCCAGCACTTCAGGGGCAAAAGCCATTGTTTTAAGAAGGGGGGATTGACGGCTCAGGTGAGGTTTTCTGCAAATTTTTGGGGGGGGGGTTCTCTAAATCAGAAGCTAGTTCTCTGAAAACCTGCCAGTCTTCAAGCTGTTTTATTTTAGGTGCTGTTCCTTTTTAACATTCCCTTTGAATTTAGCCTCTGGGCTACCAAGAAGAGGAGGAATTTCCCAGGAGCCCTTGGGGGTTGGGCCAGGTGGGCAGTAGCCCTGCCCTCACACTTTGCTGCACTTAACCCCTTGGTTCTAGGTTGTGCTGAGGGGTTCCCCACAAGATCTATCTCACCTTTGGGGGTTCCTTGAAAGGTTCGCTGTAGAGGCTGCGTATTCTTCTGCGATCAATGACCTTATTGTCCGCTGGTGTCGGCTTGTTGGCCTCCCCTTTGAACTGGGCACTGTAGCTGGTCTCATGAGCCATCTTATCATCTGGGGGCTTGTACTGGGGCCTGGCTTTTATCGGTTTCACGGGCTTGATGTCCGTCCACGCTCTGAATTCATTTCTGTGAATCAAAGAAAGCATAGGAGATATGAAACACGATCTGCGGGGACGCAGTGCTCCTCGTACCGGGCTGCAAACACAGCAAGCTCTCAGTCGGGGCTGGTGCTGCCCACGGAGGGGTGGCTGAGCAGTGAACTCCCTTCTCCTCATGGGGAAGCGCGAGGTTTCCTTCCTGCCACCTTGAGGCAGGCTGTGGCAATAGCCCCTGTAGGACGAAGAAGCTCAGGCTCCCAGCTACCACTGTGTGATCACGGAGAGGCAAATCTAATCTTTGGGCCTCGTTTTTGCAATATCTCAAATGAGGCTGAAAACACTCAATCCACTCCGTCATGCACGGGTTCAACCTCTATAATTGAATGCCTGCCGCGTGTGAGGTCAAGAGTGTGAAAAATGAGACGTGTTAGACGGTGTGCCTGGTATGCCGTGGCCAAAGACAAATGCCAGTCCCCTCCCCTGCCTTGTCATGATGGAGACCCTTTGTTAGCCAGAATCCTCAAGGATAGTTCCTCCCCTTGATAGCAAAGGGCTTGCTTCTTATATTGTCAGAAATTTAACAATCTTAATCACTGTAGATGAAAATACTCATGAGATGTCTAAGTGCTTGCAGATCTCAAATAAGCAAAATGTACCAAACATAATGTAGATGCCACTGTTAGGACTGATGTCGCACTGAGTATGTGCAGGAGAATCTTCACGTGCTCTGGTGTGAATGGCTATTGGTCCTGACCCCATAATGACCACCATCTGCTGCTTTTTTCTGAGTCAGTGTGTACATGTTCTTATCTTTCCTGTTAGGATCTTGTGGATTCCAATTAGCTGTTTCTGATCTGTTACAGGGCTGGAGACTAGATGGGGACAAGGTCCAAAGCAGGGTAAAGTACATGTGGCTGCTTATGGAGACCACGGGGTCCAGCCTGTTTATTGAGTACATGACATTCGATGGATCTGTTCTCATTTTGGGGCATGAGAAGCTGTGTTGTGCGAAAGGAAGAGTTAGGGTGTAAATATCTGTGGTTAGGTTCTTCCAGCGCCCTCGTCACCCTCACTGATAACGCCCTCCTTCGGGGCTCAGAGACGAGTGGCCCAAACAGGAGGCCACAGGGGACGGCCGAAGGAGCTGGGGCTGTGAGCGTCATGAGGTCCCAGCCCCGCCTCTAACGAGATGTGGAGCAGGCCTCTCCCCTCTCTGAGCCTTGGTTTCCACACCTGTCAAAAAAAGACCAGACAATGTCCTTATCATTGCTTCTAGCTCAGAGATTCTCTGAGTCGATAAAGCTGGTTTGGTTAACACTGAGCCACTTGCTGGTCATTTGACCTCCTGAGGGGAATTGGCTCATTTGTGAGCAGAGAGACCACAGTTTCTTAAGAGACCCTCCCCCAAGCTTCAGACTTGCCTTTCCGGTGCAGCCTGGACCCCCGCCTAGGGGCCCCACCAACTCAAACCCAACATCCCTAGAACCAAAGCATCTTGTCTGCCCTGCCAAATTGTCTTCATTCCCTCATCATTCAATTTCTTTCTCTCATTCATTCATTCGCAACACATTTACTGAGTGCTTAAGGTCTGTCTGGCAGGATGCTGAGCTCTGTGGAGCCCAAAGTGAGTAAGAAGAGGCCCTGGGCTCAAGGTGTGGGAGGCAGAGAGATTGCGGTTACTCCAGGACAGTAAGAACAGAGCCCTGACAGAGGGCGGAGTGGGGAACACAGCCTATACCGGCCTGGGAGCGAGTCGGGGGTGTGGGTTCTGGAGTGGAGTCAGAGACGGCACAGGGAGCTGGCCAGGGCTTCAGGAAGAATGAGGGGTACCCGAAGAGGCTGCCCAGACATGGCCCTCTGCAGACAGCTCAGGTGGTTGGGTTGAAGCTTGTGGGGACCGGGCAGATCATGAGGTCCTGCCAGCCATGCTGAGGGGATGGTCTGGACTGTAACGAGGAGCTGCCAACTGGCCCCAAGCCAAGGATGAATGCGACCAGGTTAGTTTGGGGAGAGAGAACTTCGGCAGCAGTGTGAATGGCGCACAGACGGGGTGAGGTGAGTCGGGAGGCCAGGCCGGAGACTGTGCAGTGAGCCCGGATGACAGCAGAGGCCTGAGCCAGGACAGTGGCAGTGGGGACCGAGAGTGGCTGAGTCAAAAGGGAAGTGGGCAGGACTTGAGAGCGGCTGAGCCGTGGGAGGCCAGGGTCGGAGGGGAATCTGGAGAGATCTAGGATTTTGGTTTGTAGGTGGCAGTGCTCCCCACTGAGACGGAGAACCTGGGAGGAGAAAGGGCCTGGGAGGACTGAGACCCCCCTGATTCCGTTAATGGCACCCATCTGCTCTGGCCTCAAGGCTGTGTTCTATTGTTTCTTGTGCTCTCCTCCCTGCTTTTACACTTCCAGGGGTTCAACCAGCTCCTGTGACCTGACTTCTTTTTTTTTTTTTTTTTTTAAGATTTTTATTCATTTATTTGAGAGAGCGAGAATGAGAGAGAGAGAGAGCACATGAGAGGGGGGAGGGTCAGAGGGAGAAGCAGACTCCCTGCGAGCCCGATGCGGGACTCGATCCCGGGACTCCAGGATCATGACCTGAGCCGAAGGCAGTCGCTTAACCAACTGAGCCACCCAGGTGCCCTGTGACCTGACTTCTGAGCCATTTTGGGCTGGCCTGGGTCACATTAGGGGCTGTGGCCACCATGACCCATCTAAGAATCCAGGCAGCCCCTCCCTCCTCCCACCCTTCAGGACCAGAGTATTGCTGAAGGCCCTTATATGTGGCTTACCAGTAACAACCTGGCTCCTGAATATAGAACCCTGAGTTCTCTGCTCCTACCCCTGCCTGCTTCCAGAATTAGGACTGACATAGGTCTACACCAGCCCTAAGAACTGTTTCTGGATCATCTCTCCCAGGCCAGCCTCTGCATCTTTCTGCATCTCTGTCCTGGCCTCTGTGGGCTGGCAAGTGTCTCAGGGTGAGCATTAACCATGGGGCGTGTCCTCGTGGGAGCAGTTTGGTGACCCCTGATCTTAAAGAACTGCTCTTCATATGAGGCCATGTTAGTGAGTCCCATGATTAAGTTCACTGTAATTATGACAGTTCGGTTGAAACCCAAATTCTGCTACTTAGAACTTTCTTTGAACTCTCCACAAAACCTTCCCCCAGCCACAAGCCATAACTAATCATATGTCACAAAAATAAAATTAGCTACCGTTCATTAGTCCCCTTTTACAAGCTGGAGGGTTGTTTTGGTTTTGCTTTGGTATATTCTCCATAATCCTTACAACAACTTTGAAGGAGGTAGTATTGTATCTCTCTTACAAGAGAAGGTAAGCCAGGCTCAGAGAGGTTAGGTGGCTTGCCTAAGGCCAAACAGCTGGCAAAGAAGCAGGGCTGAACTACGAGCCCGGGTCCGGGAGGCCCACATCCTTCCCACCGCACTTCCCCAACGTGCTGGCGCCGCAGTGTGCTGGCCTGTTCTCACCGGAGGTACCCGTGCGGGCTTAGGCCTGCTGTGCGCAATGCCGTGGACGGTTTAGGTGACACGGCTGCACGAGATGACCCCTGAGCTCCTCCAGCCCAGAGACGCTCCTCCCAGAGTAGCGTGGGCCACGCTCTCAGCTCAGTCACATCTTGCCTGTTACCACGGACGCCCCTGCCCGTGCAGCTGGATTTCAGCACGATCGTTCATTCCTTTATTCATTTGGCATTTACCAAACACCAGCCATGGGCGGGGCATGTGGCCCACAGGGTGTGTGACCCAATGGCTGAGGCGGCTACAGTTTAGTAGGTTAGGATCTGTTCTAGTGTGTGACCCTAAGCAAATGGGACCGAGGGAAAAGGATGCTTAATTCTGGAGGGGGCACTAGAGGATGGAGACAGAGAAGTGAACAAAGGGAATTCAGGCGGCGTTCTGAGTCCGTGGGGCAGGTTCAGAGGGCAGGAGAGCTGCTCAGGGTGTGGAGGGTGGGGTTCTTGGAAGGAAGTCAAGGCGACCGGGCTGGGGGGGAGCTGCGGCCAGGCTTACAGGGCCTGGAATGCCATGTTTACATGCTGACGGTCGGCCTGGGGAGCCGCTGAACGTTTCTGAGTGAGGCAGCACTATTCCACCACTGACAACGTCCTCCTCTCAGACTGCCCCAGTTTGAATTATTCTTCAAGGCCCAGCTCGGGGCTCTCCTCTTCCAGGGCCCCCTCCTGGTTTCTCAGCCCAAAGTTTCCTCTCTCTTGGCTCCTGGATGCTTTAGTACCTTGTCCAACTTTGTGGTGCCCCATGCAGTTTCATGTCGCTCTTTAATTATTTTATGAGTTCATTTTACCTCTCCTGAGGGATGAGATACACAACGGAAAATTCATGACGGAACCCTACTTTTGAGTCCAACCTCATTGCAGGGCTGTGAAGGCTTATCCTTTAACTTATCCTGTGCCAAACTGCAGGTTAGGGGCAGAGCTGTGCGAGGACCCCACCTGTCTCCACCTGCCCCGCCAGGCCCTGTCCCTCACCCAGGCCCCCACTCAGAGCCATGTTCCATATCTTTCTCACATTCTTCACAGGATTTAAGGGCTTGGCATTGAGTGAATATTTCATGGAAGTAGCTATTATTTGATCTCCTTTCTGGTCAGCTCATGGCCCCCTCCGCCTATACTTGTGTTCCAGTGCTGATCGTGCTGAACTGAGTATGGGCTCACAAGCGCCTGGCCCGGGCGGGGTCCCTCTTCATCAGGGAAAGAGCTGCATTTATCTCTGTCTCCCCGGTGCCCTGCACAGCACAGAGTGGTACACTTAGGACACACTGGGAGAATTAAAGGAAACCAAGCCTTCCATCCTACTTTAGGTACTCACAAGGCTGCTCGCGTTTGGGGCTTCTGTTATTACTCAAACCCACACACCCCAAGTCTTTAAGTCCTTGTAGGGAAGAGCTGCCCTTAATAAAGCAAGCATCTGGTGTCTCCCAAGCTTTCATAAAACCCATCCTCCCTAGATTGACAGGAGGCAGCCCAGAGCCCCGGGTGAGTGAAGCCGCCACGGTG